AGAAGCCGGCGCTGACCCTTATGAGCCTAACGCACGCACCGGCAGAAACCACAAACCTGAAAAAAAAGCCCGAGTGGAACACAAAGAGACCCAGTAAAGCATTCGTCCCGGCGTCTGAGAGATATCCCAAAGCCCTACAGAGACACCGACAGGAGAGCCGGAGACAGAGGCAGATCGAGCTCATGGCACTGGTGGAGAGAAGCGCACCTCAGCCAGAGCCGGTTCATAACCACAAACCTCAAGCACAAAGACACCGACAACCACCACAGCTACAGGTGCAGTTCACCATATATACACCACACACACACACACACACACACACACACACACACACACACACACACACACACACACACACAAACACACACAACACCATAACACCAGGACTAGTCATGTTTTAATTAGCTCATTGTCAAGCACTAAACAGTACTAGTTAACCCTGAGTTCTGCTAATCCAAGCGTAATTGGAGTCCTGGCTTCATGCTGTACACCCGGCCCACACTCATGCTACTCTGCATATTTCAGCTAGTGTCATTGATTGGACGAACACTGTGTGCAGCTTGTTTATGCAAAGGTCTTGCTCATTCGTTAATAATAATTCTTACATGTATATAGTGCTTTTCTGAGTTCTCTAAGTGCTTTACACAATGGGGGAATCTCCTCATCCAGCAGACAGCAGAACACACACCACACAGCAGCTGATTGGTGGAGAGGAGATGAAGCCAGTTATGATATGGGGAGGGTTAGGAGGCCATGACGGGCAGATTGTGGATCAGTGGGCAGATTTGGCCAGGATGCCGGGGTTAGACCCCTACTCTATTCCAGAGATTCAGGAGTTCAGTTTAACCAAGGTCCCTTTTGAAACTCAGTATGCTCGGGCATTCTGTCTGAATGTGGAAACATCAAATTCTCCAAAACCGCTTGCCAAGCTTACCAATACATTTCATATTACAAATAATTAATAAAATTAAACAACAGCTGTCGGCTTAGCTTCATTTCTAAATGTTCATATCACACTAAATCTGCAGAAACTCACGTCTGGTCCAAGCCCCTCCCCCAGGTTATATTCAGTCTTTAGTGATTGATGATTGGCTCCTGTACAAGTAGGCGGAGCTTTATTCACCAAATACGATCGATGATTGGCTCCTGTACAAGTAGGCGGAGCTTTATTCACCAAATACGATCGATGATTGGCTGCTGTGCTAGTAGGCGGAGCTTTATTCAATTCAAAAAGATGCGAGTGGCACGTCTTGTGTGTTCTAGTGCAGTGTTTCTCAACTGGTTTGTCGCGACCCAAAAATGGGTGGCAGGAACATTTTCAATGGCTCGTGGAGTGTGTGGTCAAAACAACAACAACAGTTTAATTTTTTACTTATTTTGCTTATACCAGACTTTATTATGAAATGCGTGCGCCATGTGACATTTCATTTCATTATAGCAACAAATATGTGGAAGCACAAGTAAGACCCTGAATATGTAAAGTATGGATATATATATATATATATATATATATATATATATATATATATAGACGACAAAAAAGACTTAAAGCCTCAGTGTTAATGTGGTGAGGTGCTCTCATAAGAGAACATGAAACCTTCTAAAGTAAAACAACATTCAGAAGCCAGAAGACATTTTATTAACAGTTTATTATTGACAGTAGTTGTGTTTTTACTCTGTAATATTTCTAAAATTTGAAATATTATAAATATAATATATATTATAAATATAATAAAAAATGAATACAATTTAATTATTCCTAAAATTGTATTAGTTCCTAAAAATGTGGGTTGCAGCTTGATAACCATGTAAAAATGTGGGTCTCATGGCCAAACCAGTTGTTCGAGAGTCTCTAGTATAACGTCTCATCTGAAAGTCGGCGCTCACTGAGCAGTGTAGAGTCCCCGTCACTATACTGGGGCATTAGGACTCACACAGACCACAGGTTGGGCGCCCCCTGCTGGCCTCACTAACACCACTGACAACAGCAGCCCAGTGTTCCCATGAGGTCTCCAATTCAGCTACTGACCAGACTCAGCCCTGCTTAGCTTCAATAGGCGACCATGTGAGAGTTGCAGAGAGCGAGCTGCAGACAAGCAAGTGCTGAAACTAAAAGACCTGCTCTTTCTGTGAGGAAATGAGTCTCGCGTGTTCAGAACTCAGGGTTAAGCACAGTGTACAGTACAGTAATGTGAGCCGTCTGGAAGTGTAAATGATGAAGTGTTGATGTCGGTTCTTCTTTTTATTCAGGGTGAAAATCAACACCGAGACCCCTCAGCCATCAGCGCTGACAGGTGAGTGTTGTGTGTGTTTTTCCCAGACGCATGCATTTTACACAGTCACAGAACCGGCTTTAGTTCAGTCAAGCGGATTTGAGGGAGACGGAGGTGAGAGGTCACTGGGGAAAACATCAGTTCTGCTGTGAAGCACCAGAGCTAAACGCTGGCTTCAGGATCTACAGCCACTTTACATGTACAGCGGGGAAACACGTCAGCATTTTCCTCAGGAAGCGCATTCCTAACGGTGCTGTAGAAATTCTGCCTGGATGTTGGTAACAACTGAAGAAATCCATATATGCCAAGACTGCAAACTAATCTAATGAGTCTACTAATGAAGCTCTGTGTTATGATGTGAAAGAGGAAGAGTGTTGAACAGATGAAGAAGGGGAGGCGTAGATGGGCAGTGAAAGCCCAGACAGCAGCTGAAATCTCTCAGTAGTTCTTCAGCAAGCCTCTGCCCTTCCTCAATGTCCAGCATCTACATCAGCAGGAGGATGAAGATGAAGCCAGGGTGGACATTTCAGCAGGACGATGATCAGGGACTCAGCCGAGGAGACTCTCAGATGCTTTCAGAGGAAGAACATCAAGCTGTAGAATGGCCTAGCCAATCACCTGACCCCAATCCAATAGAGAATACAGCTCAGATTTGATAGACGAGACCCACAGAAGCAGCAAGATCCTTACACTCTGCTGAAAAACTGACACCTGAGCAAGTGATGTGGCGTCACTCTCCATATGCGGCCCGTTTACTGTTGTGTAGTGTAATGGCAGTGTTGAAGGAAGGTTTTCTTCTCGTGTTGGTATATGGCAGTCAGAAATGCATTGATCAGTTAAAGAAGTAAACGCTCAGCTCCATTCTGAACACTTTTATAAAGAGCACATCTCTTATCTCCAGCAGAGGAACATCTCCTCCGGTTACCGCAGTGAAACAGCACGTACACCGGCCGTCACAGCAGCGCTGTCGTCAGGTGGAGGAGGAGATGGCACAGCCTCCGTTATTAGATTACGTGCCGTATGTGCGCACAGACGAGGTCTATCACATGGAAGCCCTGGCTCCGCTTTCCAGACCCTCAACACGTGAAGCCCAGCAGAGAGTCAACGCAGGTGAGCAAATATAGAGGAAGCTGTTTAACCGTTTACAGCACGCTTTCACCACACGGGACTCTTCTGTTTGGTGTTACACATTCTCCTTGAGCCTTGCTCATCATGTGCTATTATTGTGCTCTTCATATGGTTTACTTTCCATGACATGACTGATGAATGCTCCAAGATTATTCTGATTTATTTTAAAGACACTGAGTTATTTGTACTTTTACCTAATATTAGTATTATTGACTAAAACTTGTATTGTTTTATCAGTGTAATTTATTTTAACTTGAGGACAAATATTCTGTTCTCTTTACATCTGTGAGAGAACATCAACAAAATTCACAAGCACAGTTACTGCCGGTTTATTATATTATTAATATATGATTAATTAATTATTATATTATTATTAATGCTTAATTATATTATTATTATTAATGCTGATTTATTATATTATTATTATTAATGCTTATTTATTATATTATTATTATGTATGCTTAATTATATTATTATTAATGCTTAATTATTATATTATTAATGCTTAATTATATTATTATTAATGCTTAATTATTATAATATTATAATTATTATTATTATTATTATTATTAATGCTTGATTATATTATTAATTCTTTATTATATTATTATTATTAATGCTTAATTATTATATTATTATTAATGCTTGATTATATTATGAATGCTTTATTATATTATTATTATTATTATTAATGCTTAATTATTATATTATTGTTAATGCTTAATTATATTATTAATAATGCTTAATTATTATATTATTATTAATGCTTAATTTTATTATTATTATTAATGCTTAATTATTATAATATTATAATTATTATTATTATTATTATTAATGCTTGATTATATTATTAATTCTTTATTATATTATTATTATTAATGCTTAATTATTATATTATTGTTAATGCTTAATTATATTATTAATGCTTAATTATATTAATATTATTAATGCTTATTTATTATATTATTATTAATGCTTAATTATTATATTT